AGGCAATTTTTTTCAATGTCACGTATTTGCAATGAAAAGTGTTCAAAACCTAAAATATTTTTGGCGTTCCTCTCTAAATTACTTTGTTCTGGCTTTATTCTCTAGTTTATAGAGTTAGCTACCTTTTTAAATGCATCTGCCGGGCGAGAAACATAAAATAATAGTTAAAAATTGTCAATCAAAATACAATTATCAATGATGCTTTAAAATTGACGCTATATTTACAGCCATATAAGCAAAACTTACTGAACTTCAGACATCATTTTCTCTTTGGCGTATCGTCTAAAATCTCTTCATTTTAGCATTATTTTACAGACAAAGCACTAAACATACTTTTTAAGTTTGTTTGCCGATTGAGAAACGTATCGAAAAATAAAAATTTTGAATTTAGTCATAACCTCAAGTGATATATTGTACGCATTAGTTTTGAGCGCGTGTTACGTAACATACAAAAAAATCTCCTCTTAATATTTTATACTTTTGATTTTGTAATATATACTAACTATAGTATAATATCTTAACTGCACGACTACATCAGCAAATGCTGTAAATTTTATCGTGTTTAAATAAATGCTTTGATTGATTGATTGATTGATTGATTGATTGATTGATTGATTGATTGATTGATTGATTGATTGATTGATTGATTGATTGATTGATTGATTGATCGATCAATGTGGTGACCAGTTCCTGGTCCAGCATGCAGTACGATCGCGTACTTGTTTTTTCACTTTGTATAATTTTACTTGTATTTATACAGGGTGTTAGCCACAAAAAGAAAGTTTTGTCCGTTAAACATAATTTGGGAAACGATTTTTGACCGATCAAAGTCCTTGTGTAGGAATAAATAGTGTTTTTTTCCAACGTGTTTCTCCTTAGATGCAAACAACGGTAGCTTGGTTTTGTACATTTCATTACCGGTGAATAAACACTGAAAAATGCACCCGATGGCACTTCGTTTTGTATATTTCATTTCCGGTGAATGAACACGGATGCACACCGATTACACTTTGTTTTCTACATTTCATTTCAGTGAATACACCCCCAATATGAATGAAACGCGATACAGTTGAGAAAATAGTTAATGAGAAAAAGTAAATAAAACGTTCTTTGTTATAATAATATAAAATCAAACGAAGTGCACTTTCTCATCAGAAAAAATGAAAATCTTCCAGTAGACCCAGTTGGGAAATCCCCTTGGCTACTTCAATTGGGAAGAGTCAGTCAAACGGACAGTATATGGGCTAGCTAACACCCTGTTATATTTAGATGTGTTAACAACAAATGTGAGCGCAGAACATGGATACTTGACCATCAATTGGATAGTACCAAAGGAACATCGTCGTTCATCTACCCCTATTACATACAATATAAGTGTATGTTCTCATGCTATTCCCGTCGCGTGCAAGTATACTTTTACGATGTGTACAGCAACATACGACTACAACGATTCTACTTCAAGCGGTAAGCGAAGAGAGTGAAGATTTAATAGTACGTCATGTACTTACGTTAAAACATGCAAGTTGTTACAGATTTGAAAACACGTTGTAACAAGGTTGTTGTCAAGCCGACATCAGGATGTGCTCGCACTGCTTGTTCCCAGTTGTTGCGACAAGTCTGGAACAAGTTGTTATCACCTTGTTACAGACTTGCTACAAGTTGTTCCAACAAGACTAATACAGCCTGTTTGTAACAACCCAGCGGGCAAAATGACGTTTATCCAACGTTGAATCAACGTTGGAAATGACCTTCCAGACGTTGGATAGACGTTGAAAAAGGGTTGACCATGCAAATTGGATCGACGTTACTGTTTCGACGTTGAAACAACGTTGAAATTACGTTGCCAATCTCGTCTACCATAATTCAACGTTGAATCCACGTTAAAACAACGTTGAGATTGGTTCACAAATCGACGTCGTACATTTAGCCATGAATGAACGTTAATTCAACGTCTGTTGGCTGCTGTTGAACCAATGTTTGTAAAACAACGTCAGAGCAACGTAGATATTAGGTTGTCGACGTCGCAACCTTTTTTCTACCAAATTTCAACGTTGAAACAACGTCGTGTGCCCGGTGGGAAGTTACTACGAGCTTGTTGTCATCAACTTGTTACTTAACAACTTGTTACATGGAGTTTTATTGGAACAACTAGTTGCGAGTCGTTGGTCTTATCAACCTTGTCACAAGATAATAACAACTTGTTCCAAACTTGTCAATGACTTGGAACAAGCAGTGCGAACACATGTTGTTGGCAAGCTGGGAGATTTTTGCGAGTGTAACTTAACCAAAAAAAGGATGTGTTCGAACTGCTTGTTCCCACCTTAATAACCATATAAAAAGCACTCCCAAGTGACCGAATAACAATTCACTGGAAAAAAATTGAAATTCCATAGAAGGTCATAGTATGGAAATTGAATGGATCTTTTTTGGAAATAGAATGGATTTTGGTTATCCATAATAATTGTATATTTCCATGCTATGGATATAGTATCGAAATACTATGGATATAGCAAGGAAATAGGATGGATATACTGTGGATTTAGTGGTGCAATTGCAAATTTCGTAGTATGGATCGATATTTCACTTTTTTTTTCAGTGATTAGTAGATGCTTAAAACGTTTTCAGTCAATTCTTTAATTGAAATCGCTACCGAGGTGTAATTTAGGGCTCCAGGGGTATTTTAGGTTTTGGGACTTGGGTGGGAGCTCCCCCCAAATTTCAGGGTTTTTTTATTTGGGGGGAATTTCTCCTTCCTATGGTCACAAACCCAGATTTCATTTCCTACGCTCACCTATTTCCAAGTGAGGGGATAGAAATGATGTCTGGGTTCACCAACTGCACCTCCAAGTGATTACCCATTTTTAGACTCAAGGTTATATGTAGCAGTTTAATATTAATAATGATATTCATATTCCATTTTGGGGGGAAATGCTCCCCCCAAAATTTAGCTATTAGAGAGTGTGGCAAATACAAGGGCAACGGCAACGGCAATATGGTCATCAACAATAGCATTAATCTCAAAGACAAAGGCAAATGTAAATTACATGGTCTTAGGCGTTGTGCAATGCCGTAGTTGTTGAAACGAGTACGTGATTTGCATCATTTTCACGGTGCATGACCACGGCAACGGTTAATTCGTTCGATGTTATTTGAGGTGTTTTATTTGAATTCGCGGACTATTTTTACTTAAGGGTACGTTTGAAAGAAACAGGAATACTTAAAGAGGCAAATTAAGTGTAGTAACGTATACTTTGGCTCAAATACAACAATATAAGCAATTATATTTTTCCCGTTGCCGTTATCGTTGCCGTTCTAGGTTGCCAAACTCTCTATTTTCAGATGTGGGGGGAATTCGGGATATTTTTGGGGAATTCCCCCCTATCCTCCCGCAAAATACTCTTGGGGCTCATAATGACCATTGCATATCTAATGATATATTTACGTCGTCCTGCTAACTGACATCAGCAGTAATCCAAGATGGCAGACAAGATACTGGTTCATGATAATTTTGGTCAAAATATTTCGGGAACAAAAAATAACATTATTTGAAGAAGATATACCCCATAATATTAAACGTTCTGTCAAATTTGAAAGTAAAGTTTTTTTTTGCCATATCTCCTTAATCGTGGATATATCAATTAAGGCGTAAAAAAAATACCTATGGTTCCGGTTCCCGACCGACCCTGTCTGTTTTTTTTCTGCCGACCCTATTATTTTTTCAACGCGATTGACCGTGCAACCCTATTTTCTCCGGGCGGTTGCGGGCTGCTGCCAAAATGGCGTCTGTCGTCACACTAGAACTATTGAAAAAAACCCGAAAAAAAATATTCAAAAAAAAATTATTTCCGACTTATCGACCCTAATTTTTTCGCCATATGAAACCGGAACCACAGGTATTTTTTACGCCAAATGCATCTGATACCTGTAACTGTGCTTTTTTATCCTTTTTCAATAGGTCAGGTTCATTTGTATGAAGAAAACTGGCGAACATTTGTTAATAAAACACGAATCCACCAGCAACCTCTTTTGAAAACCTGGAATAGCCAGGACTATCGTTTTTCGTGCAGCATCTATTTGGGCGTTTGTATGAACCATTTTAATTTTCGAGAAACATTGCAGTACAGAGTTGATTATGGCAATGGTACTAATGTGCAGGCTCAACCTGATAAAGTATTTTTTCTAAAAGGTGCGCAAACTATTCACCACCAGTTCTGTTAAAGTGACTTGTTTTTTTACATGCTCAACAAAGGGACATATGCATCGGTCATCAATAATGGGAGGGGGTGGTGGGTGATAATAACGGTTTATTGACCGAGCGTGAGGTCTGTATTGTGAAATATCAGACCGAGGTTTTTTAGTATGGATGGAGCGAGGTCCATGCAAAAAACAGAGGTCTGATATTCCACGGTATAGACCGAACAAGCGAGGTCAATAATCGGTTTATTATGTGGCTGAACTGAGTCTGTGAGCATATGCTTTTCGCGCGAATTAAATCGGCTATCGTCAGTTTCACTGGGTAACAATATACGGTGGGCATGCATGATGCATGCTCAATCAAAAACAATTTGGTTGTTTGAAATTTTTATCTGTAAATTTTAATGACACATAATTGGAAAATTAAAAAGCAAAAATTTTTGCTGTTTGCAAAGCAAAAATTTCCCGCCAGAAAAACGACATCCGGGACAGCGGTTCAGATAGGGAAAATACGGACCACGGTCCGGATATGGGTTTTTACGGCCGCTTGTCAACCAATCAGAATAGAGAACTCTGAAAATCCATATAATAAATATCAAATATTGAACATTTATTAGAGCCGCACCCGATCGCAAGACCTTTATTTTCAAGACGTCACCCCCCACCTTCATCTAGAAAATCAAGGACTCCCCCCTTCAATTTAATTCGTTACATTGTTTGGTATTTAAAATGGTTTTTATTCACTCCGACTTCTATCGTGAATTGCATCTACGTTATAAACTATGGAAACTACGATTATAGGAACTGAAAAAGGTGAAATATTTTGTGGGATACGATAAAGGCGAGGGATTGAAAATGAGTAGGAAAATATTAAAAAATTGGGGTTGCCCCTTGTCACATAATTTTCAATTTGAGGCCGCCCCCAATACAGGCAAAAATAGTTGAAGCCGCCCCCTTTTCTCACCCACCGCCCCCCTTCCATTATTAGAGAGTTTGAGCAAGAGAACGAAGTCGGACGACGACGACGTGGTTGACAATTTTTGCCTGTCTTTCACATTACCTTGCACATTCTGAGTTTAGGGTCAGGAGTGAAGACAGATTAGAGATTCATGTCTAGCTGTTTGTGAATGCTGACTCAAATCCTTACCCTGATCAGGATAAAACAGCGAGACATGAATCCATATCCCGTCTTCGTCTTCTGCCTTCGTTCACAACGAATATTTTGGCAAAATTCGTTGTGAACTTCGTTCTGCACGAAGGCAGAAGGACAAAGACGGGATATAGTTTCATGTCTCGCTGTTTTTTATGGATCAGGGCAAGAACTATGGTCAGTATTTATAAACAGCGACACATGGGAAGACACGTTGTGCAACCACCAGTGACGTCCAACTTAGTATGCGCAAGATAATGTACACACGGCAAAAATTGTCAAGTATGCCTTCGTCTTCGTACTTCGTTGTCTTGCTCAAACTCTCTATTAATGACCGGTCCCTTATCATTACAAAGACCGGTCCCTTATCAATGCTTCACGATTTTTGTAACTACAGGGTGTTCCCCCCCAAAAACTGGAAACTGTTTGATTTCATGCAACGTAAATGCTATAAAAGCTATCGCAATTAAATATAGATCATTGCATTCAGAAAGGACTAACTTAGACTTTGATATATAACACTTGAATTTACATGCAATATTGACTGCGCTATTGATGTTTGAACGTTGAACTACTGTTTTTGAAAATGCCAAAAATTAGCATAAAACGACCTTATAATTGCCAATGTTAGTAGTTATACTTGTTAAATGATAAATAGTTTCATTTTGGTCGTATCTTGCTCAATATTGCATGCAAATTCAAGTGTCATATATATATCAAAATCTAAGTCAGTCCTTTCTGAATGCAATTATCACTTTCAATCTTCAACGCCTCCCTTCAACAGGCGTCTGTTCCCGGGGTATGGAAAAAAGCCGACGTCATCCCTGTACCTAAAAATAAGGTGCTGAGGGACATTACTAAAGACTTGCGTCCCATCTCGCTTACTGCCACTTTGTCAAAAACGTGTGAACGTTTTGTCGCAGACTGGCTGATGGAGTTGATTGGTGAGAAGATCGATAAACGGCAATTTGGATCTCTAAAAACTCTTCAACAACACATGCATTATTGAGCCTTCTCCATCACTTACTAAACGAAACTGATGTGCCGAAAAACGCTGTGAGAATTTTTTTATTAGACTTCTCCAAAGCTTTTGACCATATCGATCATAACATCCTCCTCAGTAAATTATCTGATATGGACGTTCCATCATTAATAACAAACTGGATAAGAAGTTTTCTTACTCAACGAAGCCAACGGGTCAGAATGCCCCATTGTGTGTCAGAATGGCAAATCCTCAACGGTGGAGTACCCCAGGGAACTGTTTTAGGCCCAATCCTCTTCCTAATCATGATAAACGATCTCCTCGCTGATTGGAAAGACCGATGGAAATACGTTGACGACACCACCACTACCGAAACCATTGGCCCAGATTGTAACAGCAACCTTCAAGAACTGGTTAATTACATCAATAATTGGACTACGAGTAATAATATGAAATTAAACATTGGAAAATGCAAAGAACTGGTTATTGATTTTGCAAAAAAGAAGCATTGCTTTCCCCTTTTAACAGTCGATAAAGTTAATATTGAACGAGAGAAATCTGCCCGTATCCTTGGCCTCACAGTCCAAGATAACATGAAGTGGAATGAACATATAAATAACATAGTTAAAAAAGCTAGCAAGAGGCTCTATATGCTAAGACTGCTAAAAAGGTCCAACGCGTGTATTGACACGTTAATTACTGTATATACTACCATTATTAGGCCTGTTTTAGAGTACGCATGCCAGGTCTGGCATTACAATATCCAACAATATTTATGTGACGATATTGAAAAAATACAAAAACGCGCGTTGAGAATAATCCTCCCATCGCAAAAGTACGACGAAGCGCTGATCACGAATAACATCACGTCACTGAGAGATCGACGAGAAAAATTATGCGAACATTTCTTTGAGAAGAATATTGACAATGAAAATCTCAAAGATCTTTTACCACAAACAGTTTTATCTGGATATGATCTAAGACCGATATGTAAATATCATAATTATGTTTGAAGAACCGAACGTTTTAAGAATTCGTTTTTACCTCAAAGTATATTAAAGATTAACAGTAAATAAGTTTTTAGAAATGTAAATAATCTTAAATATGTAATTATTATGTAATTTTAACTTATCCTCTTAATTTATGTAATACTGGTGTAATTTAACCTTTTTGGGTTACAAAGTCAGTAGTCATTAAATCAATTCAATTCAATTTACTGAGACCGAGGGAAACAGTGTGTTTTGTGGACCCGAGACCGCCGATGTTTCCCGAGGCGAGGCCGAGGCGACGGTCGAGGGTCCACAAAACACACTGCTTTCCCGAGGTCTCAGTAAATAAATGTTTTATTATATATCAATAGTCAAAGAAGCAACAAATTGAAGAACAAATGAACGCAAATACATGAAATACTTTATTGTTAAAACATTAAAAGCGGAAGTTTAAATCACTAGGCATGTCCAAAGGTCGCACCTTCACGTGATGGCGCACGTTATTTTTTTTTTCATTATTCGCCGGTCGATAACGTATTGTTTCCCTCTCGCGCTCTCGCGAGGGAAACAGTCTAATTTCGTCTCTCTCACGAGATATGTTTTCGACCAATAAAACACTAGAAAAATGCGACTTTGACTATTGGTATATAATAATGATGTTTATTTCATTGCGATAGCTTTTATAGCTTTTTATACGTTACATGAAATTAAACAATGTCCATGCAGTTTTTGGGACGCCCTGTATAGTTCAAAAGTTACTTTCAATTTTTTGTAAATTGTTTAAAGTTACATCTGTAGTAAATCAGGCAGATAGGAGGGAAAAGTCGCCCGATCAGGGGCCAACTCTATTTTGCCTTCATCTGGTGCCTTCAAGGCTGGTAAGTACGGTACATTAAATTTTCTGTATGTTGGCGGCGTTCAAATGTATGTGGTCTCCTACCAACGCGTCTTATTTCGATTTTCCTACTTCTATATTATTAAAAACGTGAAATTAAAGAAAAATACCTAATTGCAGCATTAGAAAGCTTACAAAAAAACTACATATAACACTTGTCTTGACTTTTCAAATGGTGTGCGAGTTATTGCTGTTCCAAAGTGTGAAAAATAGGCCCAAACGTTTCAAAACGCGCAAAAATCCTGGTACTACTCTTAAAACACGTTTTCAAAAGCTCATAACTTAAGAGCGACTTGAAAAAAAATCAAGGTACAGTAACTGTTTATAAATGTCTAATATTTTTGTAAGCTTTCTAACGCTGCAAGTTATTTTTTCTATAAATGAACCTAAAATTTCACGTTTTTAACGATAAAGGAGTTCAGTAGGAAAATCGCAGAAAAACGTGTTGGCAGGAGCCCACAAGAAATTTGAACGCTGCCAACATACAGTAATGTACTTACCAGCCTTGGAAAATGGATTTGTTTCTTGATATTCTCTTTCTGCCTGACTATATTGACTGTCAGTTGAATTAAAGCGCACATGACTCGAAAATTGACTGTGTTATTTTTTAGTCTAATTTGAAAGATCATTGAAAACTGTAGAGTAAACTTCTTTGATAGATTTTTGTTTTCTTGTCAAAACGATATTTCATTTTGTATGATATACAAAGGACCAACTTCCTACGTCACATATGTATAATGATTTAGTCCTAAAAGCTGTATATTTTTAATACGACTAAACATAATGAGTAGAAAACCTACATGGGTGTTGTTGTGGACAAATCTCGTGCTCATCATTCATTTTGAGCGAATTTATTTGATATAGTGACAAAATTAGGTAACATTTTAAAGTAAGTCACAATGCATGTTTGACGTAGAAATTGGCATATCATACAAAATGAAATATTTTTAAAATGAAGCAAGAAAACAAAAATCTGTCAAAGAAGTTACTCTACAGTTTTCAATTATCTTCTAAATTAGAGTAAAAAATAACACCATCAATTTGCGTGTCATATGCCCTTTAAATTTACTTGCAAGTGATGAACCAGGCGGGAATCGTAATCGTAATATAAAGATTAATGCCTGTCATAACGTGCGCAAAAGAGCCATATAGACAAGAATATATACATAAAATTTATTTAAGAAGTACTGACGTTTCGTCTTTAACTTAAGACATCTTCAGAGTAAATGAATATAAGTTCTTTGTATTTTTCTGTGTTGGTGTTGTGTACTCAGGTGAATAATATGTTTGCGATGTTACTCTGAGTGCATATCCACACCGGGCGAGCTTGAAAAATATGCCCGGCCACGGTGGGATTCGAACCTACGACCTTTGGAATACTAGCCCAATGCTCTTCCAACTGAGCTACGCGGTCAGGACAGTTCGAGTAAGTGATATTTCGGAACAGTATCTAGTTCCTTCAATACCAATGTGTTCTAGTAATATGAATTTTTTTCTGTGTTGGTGTTGTGTACTCAGGTGAATAATATATGTTTGCGATGCTACTCTGAGTGCATATCCACACCGGGCGAGCTTGAAAAATATGCCCAACCACGGTGGGATTCGAACCTACGACCTTTGGAATACTAGCCCAATGCTCTTCCAACTGAGCTACGCGGTCAGGACGGTTCGAGTAAGTGATATTTCGGAACAGTATCTAGTTCCTTCAATACCAATGTGTTCTTGTAATATGAATTTTTTCTGTGCTGATGTTGTGTACTCAGGTGAATAATATGTTTGTGATGTTACTCTGAGTGCATATCCACACCGGGCGAGCTTGAAAAATATGCCCGGCCACGGTGGGATTCGAACCTACGACCTTTGGAACACTAGCCCAATGCTCTTCCAACTGAGCTACGCGGGCAGGACGGTTCGAGTAAGTGATATTTCGGAACAGAATCTAGTTCCTTCGATACCAATGTATTCTAGTAATATGAATTTTTTCTGTGTTGGTGTAGTGTACTCAGGTGAATATGATATTTGTGGTGTTACTCTAAGTGTATATCCACACCGGGCGAGCTTGAAAGCTCGGAGGTTTTCATCCGTTCCTCGCTTGCCTCCACTCATGCTCGTGAGGTGTGACAAAAATACTGTGAACAGTGGCACATTATCGACAACATTGTTTATGGCCACCTTGCAATTACCTTCGTAATCAATGCTGTCTTTGTTGGTATCCTCAAAGGTATCTTCTCTTTCCGATTCCGGTGACACACACACGAGTCGGAGGTCACAATATTGGGTTCAAGTGTCTTATCAATTTGTTTAGATTTGTTCGCCTCATGCTTTGAGGCTTCCTTCACCGATTTAACATTCATTCTCTGCCTTTCTAATATGACAGCACGATTTGCTCTAAAAAGAATTGACACATATAAGTATGATTTCCAACACACTAGACTTGTCGCTAACCCTAACACAAACTCAATCGAAGAGGTTTATAATATAGTAAATACTTACTCTTCATACTCCTCCCCCTTCTTTAATTGATGTACACTCTTCAAGTGCTCATCTTTTCTGTACATCTTGAGTGGCAATCCTTGATAAGGCAACGTATGGGGGTTCGGGTTTGGGTAACATTTTCCAGGACAAGGTGATGGTGGGCAGATTTCTTCTTTGCCCCTTCGTTGGTAAGGTTGTGCTCGTTAACTAAATGTTTGGTTAAAACCTTACTCTTTTCCACAAAAAGGGCAGGGTTTCAAGCATCTTTTGTTCTGTAAATAAGAATGTTAGGGTTAAAATTACGATTTTTTAAAAGTTAATGGTGAACTGAGTTAGTGACAAAAGACAAACCTTCAATTTTTTGCAAATCAGGCAATCTGGTTGATCACTGTTGTTCTCACAGTCATCTTTGATGTCCTGAATAAATATATACATTAGCAAAATGTTTTAGATATGGTTTTGCTTACTGTATTGTGGGGATAGGTACTTTAAATTATTTACAAACATATCCTCGACGCGTTTTATAACGTTTTATTTGACATAGGGATGACATAATGCTGCTTCCCGCCTATGACAATTTGAATTAGTCATGTGATACAAGATTGCAAAAGCCGATTCGCCAAGAATGATGACACACCCACGAAACGCCCACAATGTTCCTACCCTCTTATTTTCTCCTTAATTTTTCTCGCTTGCTTATTATTTTGCCAGGAGGGGTGGCAATGCCGTGCAGCATGTAGATTGGGACGAGTAAACATGGCTGCAATGGCAGACGAAGCAGATGTGGAATTTGTTTCGAATATTAAAGAACTATTTATGAAACAAAATAAGAAGTTATGAATATTCTGATTTTTTAAACATAATTATAATACATGAGTAAGTACAATACCATTTCTAACTTTCTATTTAACAACACTACACCTGTCCTATTGCCTGTGCTAACATGGCAGGAATGCAACTAGTTTTCGAGATCCCATGTTGCATCTCATATCCTACTTATCGCTTATAGTGTGAAAGTGGATAAAAAAGCCAAACACTTGTAGTTCATGGAGTAAGTTTCAGCTTGGACACGAGTGATTTTCACACAATTACTTTTTCTTGCCAGATATTTTAAATATGGAAAATATTCCACTACCTCATAACAATTAAAACAAGCAACCGGGAGAAAATACCTTGAAACCGGGAGGCGGGAGAAAAAGGTCAAAACCGGGAGTCTCCCGGCAGAGTTGACAGGTCTGCATCTATATCATCTTGGGCACTGCACTTATATGCAGAGTAATAGGGCACGTCAAGTCATATTTGGTAAGGTAGGATGGGCATGTACCGAATGCAATTCGAGCAATGATATCACAGCCTCTGCAACACCCCCCAAGTGCCAGAATAAGAATTAAATAAACTGCAAGGAGCTTCTGTAATACAATATTGACCATTGATAACTTTTATTTTAGGTACAGGGTAATGTAATTCTGTTCTAATTTTGCAGACATTTGATGCCAACAGCCTAAGGTGCCCCATTAAGCTGTCGTCATGTTCACCATCTACAAGCCAAGATCCCAGCTTCGCGTGTAAAAGTTCTCTATCCCCTCAAGTGAGTGGGTCTCAGTCTGATAGTCCTGTAACCCCTCAAGTGAATGAGTTTGAGGATAATGATTCTAATATTTGAGACATTTCCCATGGCTAGTAGTCCAATAGCAAAGAAAACCCTTGCATTTCCAACTCCTGAGTTACGAATAAGTCCCAAGGAAACACAAGCGCTGCTCTAGCTTATCTGACAACATTTGTCCAAAAAGGTAAAAATCTGAGGTAAATATGAATAAAAATCTTTATAATATACTGTGTGCATGAAACTTATTTGCAATATATAACTTCTCCGCATATCATGATATTGTTGTTACCTCTGCCAAGAAGAGTTTTCACCCCTGTATATGTTTGTGTTTGTTTGTTTGTCAGCATGATAACTACAAAAATTCAACATATAAATACCAGAACTTGTAGGCCAAATGGCAATACTAAGACAAATCGATTTAATTTTGACCAATTTGGACAAAAACTGAATCACAATTTGATAAACGTTTATCTTCCTCTGCCTCTAGAGAAAACTGAGTGCATAATAACCATAATTAGCTTATATATTGAATAATTTATGCATGATAACTTGACTTACTGTAATGGACTGGTGGAGTTATGATATCTTTGAATGCCCTCTACACATGTTGTTGCACAGCTCATTGGGTGCCTTATTTTAAAGTTTAGTACAGCAATTTACAGTGAAATAATTTAGTTAATAATGTTGTTTTCAAAATAGCTTGCTATACAAAAGAATGTTTTTTTATATAATAAAGTTAATAACTACAGTGAAACACGCAATTTGATTGGTCACTAGTTCAACAGGATCAGGCTATCCTGCACGAGGAATTAAAAATCCTCCCTGGGATTCTCAAAATGTCATTGTTTCACTGTAGTTATTTTATAAAACAATTACCAAATGGTTTTCCAAGCAGGATAACATGATCCATGCACTCTCCTATGGCTCAAGTATTTTTACGCTTTCCGAAAGTCTCGCAACATCCCTCGTGCATGGATCATACAATCCTGCACAGAAAACCATTTGGGTATTAGTCTCCAGCTAAAATGATAAAAATGACGAAAATAAATTCATGGTTTGATAAATATATTAACCACTTAAATTTATGGTGTATTGTTTTGAATGTACTGTATGTCCTACATTATATTGTCATAACTTATGTGACATTCAATTTCATATATTCCTCTTAGACTGCAGTTGATGCTGAAAATTCCGATTGGTGAAGCAAATGTTGCCTTCCGACAAGGGTATGTGAATTTCACATGACTAGTGTATAACTAGCCTCTCCAACTGAGACCAGATCACTAGAGTGATGTATGTACCCAGATACACCATATATACCCATACCCAGATACTGTAAAATACTTTACATTATTTTACTCTATCTAATGGCAGGTGGGGGTTGGAAGATATTGATTGCATAAAATTAGGAGCACATTGCAGTTTTTAAAATTAATTAGTTCTCAGTAATCAAGGGTATTTCATTTTTGATTGTGTGCCTGGGTTCGATAGGTAAATGATCCCAGGTGTGAGTTTTATTAATTTCTATATTTTGTTGAAAAACCTAGTGCTTGGTTTCTGGTAGTACTCTACCACTAACATGTAAAATTGTCTGACGTTGGGCAGAGTAAATACTAAAGTAAGGCCCATTGCCAGCCAATGGGTTAAAAAGAGACATTGGCAGGTTGGTTAACCCATTTAGTAGCAATTAATATTCTACCATTGACAAGTTATTAACCCCCTCCTCTATTGAGACCAAATCTAATCATACTCAGGCCGTTTAATGCTTGGCTCTTGCTTTGCTCTGCCCACGCTTGACTTGATATGTTCACACGAGTTGCATGCGAGTAAACATATCTAGCGTGTTGTCATTTGAGTGCGTTTTGGCTTTGTAATGAAACTGAAATTCAATAAATATGAGCTGTAGCATTATGTTAGACTATAGCAACCAGCAGGGATGAGTAAACTATTAGTTTTTCTTCTGCAATTGGCCTTGCATAGTATAATATATCATATGCGGTGACCTTTGATATATAATATAATATAAAGCTTGTCAGTCATTGTATAATATTTCTATATTTGTATTTCATAATATTTTGTTACATGGCAGGGGCCTATATTATGATCATGGTGTGCGTGAATTCATCATACAAAAACGCGTTGGACATGCGGGCACATAAGACAATGTTAATGTGGGTTGTTAATAAGTAGATTTTGTCCAGACTACAGCTAACTTTGGTCCTACAATTAGACTTGTAAGCACTGAAATCTGGAACGATCGTTTTAGTGCAAATTATACTGACATTGTGCGAGACATTGTTGTATTCACAGCAACATTTTTATATCTGTGGCATAATCTTTAAGTTTCTAATTAGTACATTGCAGTATATGAGTTAAAGGTTCTGTAATAATATTTTTGTACAAATCCATGAATGTTTAGTGTGCCTGCAAGCCGTGTTTTAAAACATTAAGTTAATTTCCATTTTCACTGTCTATATCTTGTCACATGACCAGTTTCCATAGAAACCAAATAGTTGAAAAATTTCGGCAGTTGATTTCCAACATCTTGCCCAAAAATGAGAGTCATAGTGTACTTTGTTAATGTATAATTTAAAGATATAGTTTTAAAGATTTTCCCTATTTTCCCACTCCTTACGAAATTGGAGCCAGGCATTAATGCACCTGAGTACTTTAGAATTGATATGCAAAGGTATTCCTAATGTAGCTTTTTATGGTACAAAATTAAATTTAAATATCACATTTTTAATAATTTTTAATGCTGATCTAGCAAATATGGGAGAAAAAGATTCCAGCACGCTTTGCCAATGTCAAAAAGAGAGTGGTTAAGGTTGAGAAAAATCAACTAGAGGCAGAGGGCATCATGGTCCTTAAGGTAAAGCCAGGGAGGAAGAAGCAATCCAAGAATTCTGTGATTCCGTCCATTCCTTCTGGGGAAACAGAAGAAACAGTGGACGCCCATCAGAAAAAAATGGTCAACCTGTACAGGAAAGGGAATCCCGACTTTGCACAGGTGAAACTCTTGATGGACAACACTTATCCATAGCGCAGAAGGGCAGTACTTACTGACAATGTCTGTGTGTGGAAACTAGTCCAAGATTGTCCTTTCCTCAAAGATGATAAAGGGATTCAGGTAAACATCAATATTTAGCTTTGGAGCACTACTTTTTCTGCAACAATTTTTCTCAGTGGTAATGTTTCATGGAATTTAGAGATGTGTTACCTTTTGCTTGTGTTGCATGTTTCCATCCTAGAGAATAGTGAGGCGTGTCAGTGTTGATAGTGATGTGAGAAGTATTTCCAAATGTAGGTTGTTGAACTACCTGAAAAATAAGAAAACCATCTTCAAAGTTGTTTTCTTATTTTTCAGGTAGTTCAACAGCCTACTGTTTGCAACCAGTAGTGTATAGTCTAATTTGTTCACACATTTTTTTTTAACTTATCCTTTATATTCAAATTCTATAGTCAAATTTAATTCATTGTGATTTTGACATTTTGTCTAATCATTATTCATATACTGTAGACCAAATATCACATTAATACATTAATAAAGATCATTAATAATTCATTAAAATGGACTGATACATTGGAAGGCTTTTTGACCATGTCAGATACTGATATTCAGAGGCAAGTCAGGGGACTGGAGAGAATTATGACCATGAACAGCAAGAATGGTCATCTAATATATCAGGCAAAAGGTTGGGTGACACAATGTAGTACGTAAAGACCGTGAAAATAGTTCACATGGCGGAGTTTGTGTCTTTGTCCACCAAAATATTCATTTTAAGCATTTAGTCGAGATGCAGTCTTCCAATTTGGAAGTAATTTGGATCAAAATACGACCAAGACGTCTACCGCAGACAATCTCATGCATTATTGTTGGAACAATCTACCACCCTCCCAATTCTAATAACCATATTATGTCGGAGTATCTCACTGACTGTCTTTCCTCTTTCGAAGGACATTTTCCCAACTGTGGTATCATATTGACAGGCGACTTCAATCATTTTAACACCTCACCTATTGTACAACAATTTAAGCTTAAACAGTTAATTAATTTTCCAACTCGGGGGAATAACACTCTAGATAAAATCCTTACAAATTTGCACTCCTTTTATAAAGATGCAAATCGCCTTTCACTTTCGTTCGGACTTTCGGATCACTGCACAATTACAATTCTCCCAAAAGAAAGAATTAAAACCAAGTCAGAGCGCATTAAAGTTTCAGTACGAGATCTAAGACCAAGCAAAAAGGATCAACTTGGCCGTTTTCTTTCAGGAGTCGATTGGTCAGTTATATCAACAGATTCAGTCGACAACCAAGCTGCTTTATTTAATGATTTGATTCAGCTTGGACTTGACAATATCATGCCTGAGAAAACACGAGTAATTCATCAGAACGATGTTCCATGGATGACAAATCATCTGAAAGAGTTAATTGTCAAACGCCAAGCAGCCTGGGCACAAGGAAATCAAACACTTTTCAAGTTTTATCGTAACCGGGTCAATAACTATCGAAAGCGGTGTAGGCAAGTTTATTATAATTCTAAAATACGTCATTTAAAGGACAGTAAACCAAAAAGGTGGTGGAACGAAGTTAAACGCATTAGTGGTCACACCCCAATATCTGATAACAAAGATATATTATCCATCCTTGCACTAGAAAATATTAATATTAACGATTTTTCCCATGATGAAATTGCAAACATTATAAATGATTGTTTTTTGGATCCACAGCAATCATATGTGCCACTTGATGAGTCTGATAAAATCCAGTATGCAGGGCCAGCATCTAACTGTGACATATTACGAGTAGATGAATTTGATGTATTTATGAAACTGAAATCCCTTAACGCAAGTAAATCTCCTGGCCCGGATGGACTCCAACCATGGCTACTGAGAGAGTTTGCAGAAATACTGGCCTATCCAATTTGCCAAATTATAAATAATTCATTTCAACAAGGAAAATTACCACTAGGTTGGAAACGGTCAAACATCTCTCCCATTCCCAAAGCAAGTCAAATTACAGATATTAATAAACACCTTCGCCCAATATCACTAACGCCAATAATTTCGAAGGTGGCTGAGGATTTTGTTATTGAGAGGCAATTTAAACCGGCCGTTTTGGAAATAATTGACAAAAATCAATATGGGGTAGTACCAAGATCTTCAACTACAATGGCTTTAATATCTATGATGCACCACTGGTTACAAGCCACTGACCAACCTGGAAATCTAGTTCGCACAATCCTGTTTGATTTCAGAAAGGCATTTGATCTTATAGACCATAAACGACTCTCTGGCAAAATTAAACAACTTAACCTCCCCGCTCCCACAACAAATTGGATCTTGGATTTTCTTACTGGCCGTAAACAGCGGGTAAAATTAACGAACAACTGTTTTTCCCAATGGAGTGAAATTCGCGCGGGTGTCCCCCAGGGTACCAAACTTGGACCCTGGTTATATGTTCTAATGATAAATGACCTGACAACATCTCATAGCGATCCTTGGAAATTTGTCGATGACACAACTATTTCGGAAATTCTTAAAAAAGGTCAGTGTAGTGTAATTCAGTTGGGAGTTAATGAGGTTCAAAACTGGACTGAAACCAACCTGGCCCAACTAAATGAAGACAAATGCAAAGAGCTTAGGATTGATTTTTCTCGGAATAGTAACATCAGTAACACGCTTGTCCCGATATTAGTCAACGGCAAAGAACTTGAAATAGTGAATAATGCTAAAATCCTTGGGCTTACGATTAGCAGTGATCTAAAATGGAGAGTACACGTAGAGACAATCGTTTCTAAAGCCACCAAGAGATTATATCTGATAACACAACTTAAACAAGCAAAGGTCCCGATTGAAGATATTATACTAATTTACTGCGCATGTATCCAGTCGATCTTGGAATACGCATCACCAGTGTTCCATAACTCGTTGCCGAAATATCTAAATAACGAGATTGAGATGGTACAAAAGCGTTTCCTGAGAAGAATATATCCGAACCTCTCTTATGAGGACGCTATTAAAACCTCGAAGTTAGATTTATTGTTTGATCGTAGAACAGCTGCTTGCCTCAAACTTTTTGAAGAGGCCCAAATGACAGATCATAAATTACATTCACTAGTTCCGGAGAAAAAAGTTTGTTCGTATTCCCTAAGACAATGTAGCAAATTCCATCTACCTCGAATTCAAACTGATCGGTATAAGAACTCATTCATAATCGCTAATAGTCTTCAACAGTAATTTTAAATTTTTTAAATTGTATTATAATCATATATCTAATCCAATTTTTATTACTTGTAATGTACATATTATTAGGTTATTTAGTCACTGTACATCGTATATAATTCAGTTGTTTTATTGTAACTGCAAATTACGATTATTAAAATCAATCAATCAATCAATCAATCAATCAAATGATTTGGACTGATTGAGCACAACAGAATCAAACAATGAACCAGTCTGCAAAGTCAATCATAGTTCCCATAGCATCTCACCCTGCAAATGAGAGCAGCAGCTACAATTGCAGCCATTGGTTGAAAGCATTAGCAGGGAAGTGGACAGACTAAGCAATTTCTTCAGGTTCATCAGCACAGGAGGGGTTATCATCCTCCGGGTCAACACCTTCTGATGGATTTAGTAAGCAGATGAAGGAGAGAGTTATTGTAAAATGAAGGAGTGGAAGGAAAGTGAAAAATTTGGTAGAATTACTGACAAACATTGAATGTTTTGCTTTATATCCTCTACCAGTAGACAATATGGATATTTTCAAGGACGATGGAGCCAAGTTAAGATGTGAAACTTGCTTCAGTGCACAATGATAAGGCAAATAAATTAATGGCTGCCCGAGCAGCACACAAGTTGTCCAGTGACTGCTTGAGTATTTGAACTGGTAAATACCTAAATCCAGATTGCATGACTGAAATTATGTCAGGGAAGGGAGATAACTGGCATATATTGAAAAGCAGAGGCCTACTTGAATACTTCTCGTAGCTGCACTAGTTAAAAAGAAAAAGCATATATTTAAAGTGTTTATGAAACGAAATTTTCGGGTCCCTTTTTTGGGGATATTCTGATAGAGTTTGTTACGCTGAATATTGTGAGCTAATCCGTTTTTGACGTAGCGATATAGAAAGTGCCTTATTTTGACTCTGAAAGTGGCATTTTTTGACAATTATACGTCCGTGTTAGACGCGCGGTCACATTTCATGTGTGACGTCACTGGTTAGAGTCGTTCTAGCAAACATGGCAGCTATAGACAAGCGTGAAGGAGCTTGCGGTACAAAAAGTAAGAAACAGTTGGGGAAATATTGCGTTGCTGGTGGACCTGGTAATATCAGTTGTAAGAATAACTCCAGCGTCCAAGGAATATCCATGCATGGATTCCCTAAGACTGAAGGAACTCTGTGAAATTTGTGGATAAAGTTTGTCCAATGACATTGACCTAAACGGCAGCCATCGCCATATTCGGCATTATGCTCGGCTCATTTTGAGGTGCATTTCTACCTCCAGCGTCCAGACATCACTGCTAACCAGTTAGACACAGACAACTCCTTTCAAACAAAGAAAATGTTGGACAGAAAGATAGCCTATCCTACAATTGATACTGTTCAGCCTGAGCAAAAAGTGCATAATATTTCTGATCGTGAGCATAGAAAGGTATGATTGTGTATAAATATGTAGTTTGTTGACGAAAATTGAATGTGTTGTATTTATCTCGCAAAGTATATTTCTATACATTTATATTATATTGATATAATCGTTTATGTTTTGTAGATTTTGCGTGATATAGGAGGTCATTCAAGCACGACCGATTTCAGTGATTTGCATACCGCACAAGAAGCCGATGTCAACAACGAAGTGATCCAAGACGCTGTAACCAAATTTACATGCAGTACACCAAAGGCAAAGACAGATGTTGCATCTAACTTTCCTGACTTTGTGACTTCGCCTGTTTCTTCTTCCACTGATTGTGAAAAATGCAAATTGTTTGCTGAGGAGATACGTCGGTACAAAGACAATTTGAGGAAGTGTAAAGCAAGAAACAAGAGACTGAGAAAACAGCTCTGTGACCAGAAACAAACTATAACACAACAGACCAACCAGGTTTGTTTTCTACTTTATAGTGAATCATTCTACAATTCATAAATAAAATATATAGTAATCAGTATAACTATATTTGTGTCTCGCGTTACAACAGAAAACACAAACCAGGCAGTGAATTCAATATAATTATATATTTATATTAGGCAAAATATCTGACATACAATACCCATTTATTGGATCAATTCCTGGCACAGGTTCAATTCCTTCCACAATACCCTTCTAAATTTTTGCTACTGGTCCTGGTCTAAAAATAATTTTAAAATTTAATTTCCTTTCAATAGCAACAAGAAAATCAGATGGAAGACATTCCTGAACAGCCTGAAGAAAATGAGAGTCAAGACATATTGGTGGAAGAAAGTTACGATGAGCCTCCTGATGAAAGTCAGACCGAATCGGATGAAGAAAAGTGATTCCAAGGTTCCATGGAAAGCGATGGAAGAAGAAGCTGAAGAGAATGATTATGGCAACGATGAAGAACTGAATAGGGCAACACAAAATACTATTAGGTATGATAGACATTACATATTTATTATGCCTTTCAAAAAATTCTCAGGCCAGAAAATACAACATGGTTTTTACATAAAGCATTTTTAATTATCTAAGTGACAAAACATTGTATACATTGACAACTTATGTCAACCTGCGACAAGCAACAACAAAAATGTGCTTGAGATAACCTGCACCACTTACAAACACCCTATTTCATTGGTGTTGAAGCCATGTGTGATAACTACCAGGTGCCCCAAGAAAAACTGTACACTGTTTGATTTATTGTAACATAAAAACTATAAACGCTATTGCACTTGAAATTTCATTGAATTCGGAAAGGGCCGACTTAGATTTTGATACATAACATTTAATTTTCTGTGCAATATTGACTGCGTTATGGATGTTTTAAAGTTGAACTGCCATTTTTGAAAATGCCAATAATTAGTATAAAACGGCCTATCAAATACTCATTTAGTACACCTGTGAATTATTTTATTCTGGTTAAAAGAACGCATGTATGAACAATAAAACTGTTTTATATAAGTCTATTAAAAAGCAAAAGTTTTATAAATAAAACAATTCTATTGTACATATATGTGCGTTCTTTTAATCAGAATAAAAAAAATTCACAAGTGAACTAAATGGGTATTTGATAGGCCATTTTTTTACACACGTTACATTTCTCAAACAAAAATAAAAGTTAGAAATAACCAGATTTGACAATTGGCTACTTACTATAATATCATCTTTTATGTACCACTGACGGAATTAAATGAACATTTTTCTTTTTGCAGTGTACCACCTAATGTCAAATGCCAAGACGAACCAAAGTTCATAGTGTTCTATAGTACACTATTATCGTTGTTTTCTTTGTTCTGCTTTCGATGTAAGAAGGACAAACCAACAGTGAAAATGCTAAGAAATGGAACTATGGTTACTGTAACACAATATTGTGATGCTTGCCAAACAAAGTCGTTTACCTGGAGAAGTGAACCATTTGTGTTTGGAAGGTATCCAGCTGGAAATATATTACTGAGTTTTGCAGTACTCATGGCTGGTGCATCAATAAGCAAGGTTCTTCTTGTATTCAAGCATATGGGATTGGCTGCATATACTCCAAGATCATTTTTTTACCATCAAAGCAGATTTCTTATTCCTACGATCCTGATGTATTGGGAGTCATATTGAGACTCCTTGATTGATTCTCTGAAGAATGTTGGTGAAACAGTTTGGTGTGGTGATGGTAGATTTGACTCCATGGGCCACTCTGCTAAATATGGAGCATACACCATGTTCTGCACAACCATCCTTAAAATTGTTCATTTTGATTTGTTGCAGGTTAGGAACTTTTAGATAAAGATTACACTATTACAGCAACCATGACATTCTTGAAATGACTTACTATACATTCAAATTTCAATAGGCAGTAGATTCGGGCTAATCTGACCTTGAATTTAGTTTCATAAATCATGGAAATTTTAGTATGTATCTGCCAATAAATGACCTTTTCTCACACACTGTTTTCCAGCCATTTTGGGGGTACCACCTCTCCCAAGTCTGAGAGTAGACAGTGCCCCCAAAATGGTTGGTATAAAACGGGCCCTGTGGGAAAGGCTAATTACTTCAAATAAACCCATATATACTCCAGATGGCATACATTAAACAAAGTATAACAAAGTCAGCACGTTGTACATTAGTTTAAAGGAGCAGTGTCACCATCTACACATAATTTTTTTACGTCGGAATATATCGGAAACTATCGGGAAAAGCTACATGGTGTCATGGCGTTGTTGGTAAGTATGGAATTGATGCATATATTTGGAGACTTTCTTCACGATCGACTTGGATATTGGCAATTTTTCAAGTTTATGTATGCACATAGAAAGATGAGCAGACGGTGCAACACACAGCTCCTTTAATCTAAATCACCAAGTTCTTTTTCAAGGAAATCAGATAAAACAATTTAAAAATTCTGTTATAGGCAAATCAGACTGGAAGTAGCAATTGCCATGGAACTTGCAGGAGCTCAAGCATGTTTCGATTTTTTGATCACAGTTGCTGGTTTGTCAATACCAATATTTGTTTCTGACCGTCATCAAGGTGTTGCAAAATGGATCAGAGAATCACACCCAACAGTTCAACATTTTTTCGATCAGTGGCACATCGCAAAAGGTGTTGTAAAATAAATGCTGGCTGCGAGTAAGGAGAAGGGATGTGAGCAGATTGCCAAGTGGACAAAAGGAGTGAGGAATCACATCTACTGGTGTTCCACTTCAACCATCAAGAGCTACAGTAACCTCATTGTTGCCAAGTGGAAATCGTTTATTAGACATGTTTCCAACAAACATTCAAACCACCCCGACCCATTGTTTACCAAGTGTGCCCACAAAGAATTGGAAGACAGGAGAAAATACATTAAAGTTGGTAAGAAATGTAAAATGTTTATACAGAGTAATTACAAGGGATGGATCCAGCTCTGTTAATTAAGGGGGTGGGGGGGGGGGGTCATCATCTATCCATGATCATCTTTCAGGTGGAACCATGGATGAACTGCACAATCACTCTTCTAAGCTATGCACAGCAGTGTTCTAAATAAAGTGAATTTGATAAGGAAATTGCCTTACCCCCCTTTGCTGAGGCCAGAGTTGTGTACACACCTCTGGCTGTAAGTTAGCCTGCGAACAGGCTCTCAAGCTGAATTGAGAGCCTGCATCGATGACTAATGAATTTGAATATCTGCGTCTCAAATCGTGATGCAAAATTCTCATTGGTCAGATGCTATAATTTATATGTTTCCGCTGAGCTCTATATATGTCAACTGCTGAAGAGCACTATGCATAAAAAACACATTAACTGATCAAATTGGTCTTGGCCATCTTATTTCAAAGCACGAAATGTTCTGTTTTGAGAAAACAGTATTTAAAACATTTGAACTTTTGCTTGAATATCTTATATTTCGAAAAACAGTATAAACTGTATGGTCTAAATTTAGTTTGCACGAAAGTTGTAAACAACACCATATAAGGATAGACATTCCATATTTGGAAAAACGAACGTTACGGGGCAGATATTCAAATTCATTAGTCATCGATGCAGGCTCTCAATTCAGCTTGAGAGCCTGTTCGCAGGCTAGCTGTAAGTCCATCCCTGGATTAACCAAACATTAACTACCTGCCAAGTTGTACTATTATCTCCTAGTTCACCCGATAAGCTGCAATATAGTGCAATGCACTACCATGCATCACACTTATTCTTTTTCAAGAGAAATGTCATGTTTTTTCTCTGATTCATCTCAGGAACTCGAGCATATGATAAATTGAGGTGATCATCACAGGGTTCAAAATAACGATTCGTGATTCGTGAATCACGAATCAATTTTCATTTCTCACGAACCCAATTTCATAGAAATTGATCAAAATCACGAATCAAAAGTCTCTCAAATTAATAAAAATATACAATAAAATAAGTAGTATTACCCCCCCTCCCCCGTATAGCGGCGGAAGTGCCGTATAGCGGCGGAAGTGCCGTATAGCGGCGGAAGTAATTAGTATGCAGGAACGAGTAGAGCACCGGAAGTAATGAGTATGCCGGAAGTAATGAGTATGCGGGAGCGTTTGTAAGACATGGGGTATATTTGAATCGGTGAGTAGTACAAATTCATTTACACTTTGGTTTTCATAATGAACGGTTCAAGCAAAAAACTTCGTCTTATAGAAATAATATATGCCAAGATCATTGCACGCAGCATTGAAAAGAAATTTGGCCTGTTTTGTTGCGGGTGTAAGGTTCGTGACCAGGACTGTTTAATGTTGAATGAGTTTGAAAAATGGAAGATGTATGGTCTTGATGCTATAGAGGAAGCCGGAACTAGTTACGCCGCCTGGCGTGAATTTACCAGTCTTATTGAAATTTTGAATGTTCCGTTTGAGAAATATTTTACGGAACACTTATTGAGCTTGGAAGAGAACCCTGATCTTATGCTGATTGAATCATTATTTAAAGAATACCGAGACAACCAGGCATTAATCGAAGTCCTGTGCGATTTGTCTGATCCTAAAGCAGATCCATTGGAACCTGTTGCAGAGTTCCTCTTCGGTAGCCCCCCTACCTTTATATATTATGTTAGAGGAAAGGGGGAAAAGTTCCGGAGCAAGGAACAAGATGAACAAAAGGCATATCAGAACTATCTCAGAGATAAACTTCGAGAACATTTTAATAATTTGTAAAATATACTTTTAGTTAATAAACAATTTTTAAAAATATAATGTTTTTAAACTATGAATTGTTTAATGTTCTTCGCTCCAGTAGCTGAGATATCCCAAAATGGCTTGATATTCAGGAAGGTTTGACTTAAACTTCAGATCTTTTAGGAATTCGGCGGTTGTTTCGGGGTCTTTGGTTAGATTTTTGAAATGTTGAATGACATCTTCATGAGGGTCTAGTTTCATGACGCGTATAGCTTCGGTGAATTGTTTCGAAACTGTTTGATGTTCGATCACTCGCTTTACTGCTTCCGATGCATGCATTATCCATCCCTCTTCTTCGGACATCATGAGGCAGTCATGTCTTTTCTGGCTTGGATGATTGACTTCGCAACCGCAGCATTTTTCCTTTCGGAGTTTTTGGACCTGACAGTCAACGGCTTCCGAAAAGATAGCATTCATTAAATTACACAGGTTTTTGATTTCCCAAGGCACAACTTCGTCTACGTTCAAGCGCTTTGCCCAGAACACTTGTTCACACGAGTTCATTTTGACTGTGTATAGTAGCGATTTGCTTTATATAGTATGGTGTACGTACACGGTGTACGTACACCACTACGTCATTTCTGATTGGCTGATGCGTGCGAATATAATTCAGGTGTACGTACGCGGTGTACGTACACCACTACGGCATGTTCATCTCCGATTGGTTGGTGCGTACGAATATAAATTAGGTGTACGTACACCAATTACGTCATGATCATACCTGTTCCTGATTGGCTGGTTTTGCTGGATGGAGAATATAAATAGAGGAGACGGGCGATTATCGTTATTGTGCTCATAGTTTTCACTTAGGGAAGTTACTTAAATATACTGTTTACTTTGCAAGAGCTTTGGTGGATATTTTGTTTGACAACTAGCTTGTTTTTCAGGTAAGTGTTTCGATTTACTTGATGGTATTTGTATAATTATTTTGTTTGAGCGAATCGTGTTTTGGTTTAGATATGGAAAGAAAGATTAAAGAATGCCAAACGATAGCGGAGCTTTTGGCTCTGGAAAGTCAGGGCGCATTAAGCGAATTTGAGGAACGTTTGGTGTTTGAGAAGAAAATGGAGATTTTTATGCGGATAAGGGAATGGCATTTGGAAAACGAACGGTTGGGACTGGTACATGATCTTACGGATACCTGGACGCCCGGACAGCGCGAAAGCTTTCTACGCGATTGGCAAGATCGGGAGCTTCCGATGCAGATTATTAGGAGTCAGAAACGATCGTATGAAGAGATGAGCAGCGATAATGATGAACCACAAGTCGGTTGCGGGCAGAAAGGATCTTGTGAAGGGACGAGCAGTGATGAATCCCAAGTCGGTCCCGGACAGAAAAGATCTTTTGAAGAGACAAGCAGCGATGATAATGAACCTGAACAGGAAGGGTCTTATGAGAACATGGTTAGCGACAACGTTTTTACGGTGCAGGGTGTGAAACAAGTGAACGTGAAAAGGTTCAAAACCACGGGTATAGATTATCATATTCATATATCCTTTGCGAATGTGGAGCTTTCCGAATATCACGAAAGGCTGCACGAAATATTTCAAGGCTTGCTTGATGAAGTTACCCATGGCGTTCCTCCTCATGACCAAGTGCGTTTCGTCTTGCATTCACCGCAACTGGAAAATCCTATTTCATTTCCGTTTATGCCTCGTCAGCGTCTCACAACGGAACGTGTGTTGGCAGAGTTTGAACGTGTGATTCAGTCCAATCGCCATTTTCATCTCAATGATAGTGTGGATGTCAATGTTGTTCATGTGGAAATGCCTCGTGGCGGTACAGGTACGAAACGGGCCGAAATTAATTTGGAAAAGCATTTGATGAAGAAACGCTCAATTATACGGATCCGGAACAATGATCAACTTTGTTTGGCGAGGGCCCTGGTCGTTGCGAAAGCCAAAATTGATAACGATCCACAGTATACGAGCATTGTTGATCATCGGAGGGCTATGCAAACCCGTTTGGCTCGAGAATTACATCAGAAAGCTGCCGTCCCTTTGGGTCCCTGTGGACTTGATGAAGTAAAACAGTTTCAGACGTACCTTTCCGATTATCAAATTAATATTGTGTCCAAAGATCATCAGAACGCTCTTATTTATGTTGGTCCCGATCGAGAGAAGAGAATTTATCTGTACCTTCACGATAATCATTACGACATCATTACCAAGATGCCGGGGTTTTTCGCTCGTAAAAAGTATTGCCATACATGTAAGAAAGCTTATGATCATCGGGAAGATCACTTATGCCCGAATGCTTGTCAGTGTTGTCGTTTTCCCGACTGTCCCGTTGAGTCCTGGGTTCGCTGCAATGACTGTAACCGGATGTTCAAAAGTTAAGCATGTTTTGATCGACATAAATAGTCTGGTGGAAAATCGATCTGTGCGACGATGATTAGATGCCTTGAGTGTCATAGAATTATCAAGCAGTATAAAAGAGATCCGGAGAAGCATCATTGCGGTATGAAGTGCCCAATATGTAAAGAGTATAGCCGGCCCGGCGATCATCGATGTTACATGCAACCCATGGAAAAACGAAACAAAGATTTATCGGACAGTGACGATTCGTCCGAGCACACTGAGGATGATATTACGGAAGGCGGGTACGACCAAATGTTATTTTTTTATTTCGAGTGTCGTCAGGAAAATGGGAATCATGAGCCCAATTTATGCGTGATTCAGAACGAAGCCGGTGACGAATGGGTTTTTGAAGGGGATAACACACGGAACGAGTTTTGCGAATGGTTATTTCAAAAGGAATGGGCAAATTGTATTATGATGGCTCACAATTTCCAGGGGTATGACAGTTACTTTATTCTCCAATACTTGTGGGAAAATGGTGTCAAGTACGGTGTCATCATGCACGGTGCCAAGGTGCTTTCCTTATCTGTGGACATGTTCAAGATCAAATTTATTGATTCCTTGAACTTTATTCTGATGAGACTGGCAGATTTTCCAAAAACCTTTGGCATAGACGAGCTGGCAAAAGGGTACTTTCCGCATCTTTTCAACAAGAAAGAAAACGAGAATTACGTGGGACCGGTCCCGCCCGCTCCCTACTACAACCCGAACTGAATGGGTCCAACAGCCAAGGAAAAGTCTTTACACTGGCATAAAAATTTGAAAGACAATGATTACGTGTTCGATTTCCAAGAGGAAATTCTTGCGTATTGTCGTTCCGATGTGGATATTCTACAACGCTGTTGCTTGGAATTTCGCGAACTGTTCCGTGACGTTACTAAAATCGATCCCTTTGAGAAATGCCTTACCATTGCGTCCGCATGCAATCAAGTGTATCGGACAAACTATCTTCGGGAGAACACCATTGCCATCATCCCACCGCGCGGTTATTGTCCCGAAAACAAACAATCCCTTCTTGCACAAAAATGGTTGTCGTATACGTCCGAATGAAACGAGATCTACATACAGCATGCTCGCAACGGAGGAGAGAAACGTGTTGGTCCGTATTTGCTGGACGGATATCATGAAGAAACCCACATGGTCTATGAAGTCCATGGATGTTTCTGGCATGGTAAGTGTTTGAATAAACGCCTCCCTCGAATAGATGCCCTTAGAATTGTATTTTAGAATAGTATTTTTGTTTATTTCTTACAGGATGTATAAGCTGTTAGGCTCGTGATACAATGAATCCTGTCAAAGGTAAAACCATGCATGATCTTCATCAGAAAACCGTGGAAAAGATACAGTACCTGAAAAATCAGGGTTACAACGTGGTAGAAGTTTGGGAATGTAGAATCAATCGGGAATTGGCCGATAATGAGGACATGAAACATTACTTTATACAATATGATGGAGTCGATCCCTTGGAACCCCGTGATGCTCTGTATGGAGGACGAACCAACGCGTCGAGACTGTACCATCAGTGTAATGATGATGAAAAAATAAGGTAAGGCGGAAAAATTTTTGACGTTATGTTTTCACGTTATGTATGACGTCATGTCTTACATCATGTGTGACGTCATTTCTAGGTATGTGGATTTTACAAGCCTTTATCCCTGGTGTAATAAAATGACGCGAACGGTTGTGGGACATCCACGCATTATTACCGAGAACTTTGACGACATATCCACCTATTTTGGTCTGGTCAAATGCACCGTGCTTCCGCCTCGAGGTTTGTTACACCCTGTTGTTCCTTATCGCACCCAGGGCAAGTTGATGTTTGCGCTTTGCAGGACCTGTGCCGATGCCTGTAACCAGACTCCCTGCGGCCATGCCGACCGTGAAAGAGCCATTCAGGGTACATGGTGTAGCGTGGAGCTGGAGAAAGCGTTGGAAAAAGGTTATCAAATTGTACGGATTCACGAAGTCTGGCACTTTCCCGAGACCTCGGATGACCTGTTCAAAGATTATATTGACACATTCCTGACAATTAAACAAGAGGCGAGTGGGTACCCGAAAGATAGTGTCAACGAAGAGCAGAAACGGCATTACGTGGACGAGTACCTAGAAAAGTCAGGAATCCATTTAGACCCCCACAAGATCGAATACAATCCTGGATTACGCGCTCTGGCTAAACTAATGTTGAATTCGTTCTGGGGTGAGTACTATGCTTTCATTGATATATTTTCGCTACATGATACTTAACAGTTTTTCGTTTAGGTAAATTTGCACAACGACCCAACATGGTTAAAACCGAGCAGATAAAAGATCCACAAGTATTCTTTGACTACCTCACTTCTGACGAGATCAACGTGCTTGATGCCGATTTAGTGAGTGACGACATCATCGAAATCCGGTACGAGTATACGGACAATTTCATCAGACCCGATGTGAAAACCAACGTGGTCATTGCTGCTTTCACCACTGCCTATGCCCGTCTCAAGCTTTACGGCGTGTTGGACATGTTGCAGGAGAGGGTGATGTATTACGATACCGACTCAGTGATTTTTGTCAGCAAACTCAACGAACCCGAACCTCCCTTGGGCAACCATCTCGGCGAATTAACCGATGAATTAGGAGGCGAATACATTACTGTGTTTGCGTCAGGCAGTCCGAAAAATTATTGCTACCGTACGAATAGTGGTAAAGTTGAGACCAAAGTGCGTGGAATCACTCTAGACTGCACGGCGAGGCAAAAGGTGAACTTCGAGGTGATTCGTGGATTGGTGTATTTACATGCTAAATGTCAAGTGACGGGGCAAGTGTTTGTGGACATTCCATTTAGAATCACAAGAAATACCCGAACCAAAGAAATTGAAACGAAGCGCATGAAAAAGGACTACAGAATAGTTTATAATAAACATGTAATTATGGATGATTACAAAACATTACCTTACGGGTACTAGCAATTGAAATAAACATTTTACAAAGACGATTTGGTCTCAATGTTAATTTTTAATGTTCAGTTTGTGGTAATGATCCAGATTCACCCGCGTTTCCTTCTCCAGTGCATCGACCTGCTTTTCGTTTTTTCTAGCCATGTCCCACATCATCATTTCTCTAGCGTTCATCTGGTAGGTAAAGATGTTCCCCTGGGGGGCCCGGGGTACCGTTATACCTGTTAGTGTTTCCAGTATGATTTGTGTCAACATAATGGAGTGCAGCGTCGCATTGTCAATAAGCGTTGCTGGTATTATATTTTTCTCTATTAAAAGTTTCATCAAATCCAGAGTTGCCAGATTTCCCTCTTGCGTAATATTATTACTTTGTCCGAGAGCCAGTGAGTGACAATGTTTCTCCAAGTCATGTTTGCTTCAAATGATTAGGGAACTAAAGAGCCGGTATCCTTTATAGGTTTTGATTACGGAATAATATGTAAGTTACAATAACTGAAAGATCACGTGTTTCAATGCCCACGTGTGTTTCACGCAAAAGATAGTTTTCCAATCGTCCGCCGTATACTCAATCAGTTCGGAATCACGCACTTTCATATCACTCAGACTTTCAGTAAGAGCCTCCATCACTTTTGTTTCCGAAGCCTTTTCCAGAGCATGATCAAAGTATAGACATAACCGTTCGTCTCTTTCCATCGTAAGACACTGATAATGCGTCTGGGACAGATGCTCTGTCATGCAACCGTTACAATTTTCAGCAACGAGCTGGGAGACGATAGGAGCGATTTCTTCCGCAGAAACTTTTAAGAGTTTTTCGACGATACGTTTCTGGCGATAATAGGAAACAAGTTCCCAATTATCGATATCGATAGGTTCAGACATGTTTACCCTTTGTCTGATCGAAAGTAATGAATGTTCCTTCCCAACGGAAAAAGCATTTATACGCGTGTACCTTTAGAAACCTTTTCATATTAGAGTGTGCGTCATGGGACACTCTGCTAGTAAAAATCCGAAGGTCAATAAGGATCATAATAAACAGAAAATGTTTAGAATCGGTATAAGCGCAGGAAGGAATGATCTTAATCTCGAGGGGCATGTACAGGTGGGATACTGTAGTAAAACCGTCAAAAATTACAACCCCATCGAAAATACGAAACCTCCAGAGGATAGTATTCAAAACGTTGAGGAATGAGAGGATAACGTCATTTCGCATGTGAGCATGGACGACTACTTATCTAGCGCTTATTCCGATCCGAAAAGGCCGGGAGGATTTGGCGGAGTGGATCGTTTGTACCAGGATGTCAGAAAAGAGGGAAAGTTTAAGATAAGCTGAAAGGAAATCAAGGAATGGTTAATGAAACAGGACGCATACACATTGCACAGGCCCATGCGTCGCCACTTTAAACAGAACTGTGTCATTGTAGGGGGTATTGATCAACAATGGCAAATGGATTTGGCGGACATGCAGTCCATGCAGAAGTTTAACGATGGTTATCGTTATTTACTTGTCTGCATTGATGTCTTTTCCAAGTATGCATGGGTAGTCCCGTTGAAAAACAAGACGGGTCCTACACTGGTCGAAGCTTTCAAGGTCATTTTAACGTCCGGACGTAGACCCGAGAAAATCATGACAGATCAGGGCACAGAGTTTTTGAATAGACATTTTCGGGCTTTAATGAAAGAAGACATCGAACTTTACAACACCTATAATGAGACCAAAGCTTCTATTGTGGAGCGATTGATTCGTACGTTGAAAACGAAAATGTGGCGCTACTTTACAGCGAAGAAAACGATGAGATATATTGACATGTTACCTAATCTAGTATACTCTTACAATCACAGTATTCATCGTAGTATCAAAGTCAGACCCGTTGATGTCACAGCAGAAAATGAAAAGCAAGTGTGGCATACTTTGTACGATGGTCATAGTGTCAGGAAGGCTCCGAAGTACAGGTTTAGGGTAGGTGATCAAGTTAGAATTAGTAAAATGAAACATACATTTGAGAAAGGTTACTTGCCGAACTTTTCAAAGGAAATTTTTACCGTAAGCAAGCAAATTCCCCGCGATCCGCCGGTGTATAAGCTCAAAGATTATGATGACGAAGAACTCAAAGGAACGTTTTACGATAAAGAGTTGCAAAAGATAATCAAGCAGGACGACGTGTACAAGGTGGAAAAGATCCTGAAGAAACGCGGACGGGGCAATAGTGTGCAATATCTTGTAAAGTGGTTAGGGGGTACCCAAACAAATTTAATTCCTGGGTGCCGGCATCTCAAATAAAAAAGACTTAAAACCCTACATATGTGTTATTCTTATGTATCACTCATCATGAGCGGACCGCATTTTTACCTTACGCTTCCTAGCAATGCATCGCTTGATGTTTTTCCCAACAATAAAACAACTGGATATCGTGTAAAATTACCACAGACCGTCAACCTAGAGGGTGATTGGGAGGTCGGAATGTATTCCGTTTCTTACCCGCATACCTGGTATACCTTACGGAATATCAATGCTGACACGCATTTTTACTATGACGATGGTAGTGGTCTGTATTCAACACTGGAACTGGATTACGGTTTCTATGGGTCCGTACAAGAGTTCATTGTGGACATCAATAAGGTCCTGAAGAAGGAAATCGGTGATGACGGCATATACTTTACGTATAGCACAAGAACAGGAAAAGTAACATGTCACCTAAAGAAGCCTGGGTATAAGGTCTTCGTAGGTCGAAGAATATCACTCATCCTGGGATACGCTGGAAAAGAAACAATCATTGATGTGGCAAAAGGGGCAGCGCAGTCCCTACGTAACAGATCTGTCCTTTTTCTCATCAATATTCGCGTACTGCAACATTGTGGAAGCACAAATGGTCGGGAATGTAAATGCAAAGCTGATCAAAACCATTCCTGTTGAAGGAACACATGGCGATATTATTACAAGAACATTCACGAATATACAGTACGTACCTGTGGAAACGAAATCGTTTGAGGATGTGGAAATTCTTTTAAGGACCGACACGGGCGATCCCGTGCCATTTGAACGCGGAAAGCTGGTCGTAGCACTTCACTTTAGAAAGCACACTTACTTCGCATGATGCATAACCCTTACGTACCTTACTACCTTGCTCAACAACAGGGGCATGGTATGCCCGTATTCTGAGGCAGCCTGTGGCAGATGGGTCACAGACAGATGGGCTACGGTCTCGGCAATTTGTTCCGTAGTCTTGCCAGAGTCGTTACGCCCTTGGTAAAAAAAGGGGCAAAAACTCTCGGAAAAATTGTGGCAACAACAGGTGCCGATCTTTTGGGAGACGTTGCAGCCGGAAAGAACGTAAAGGAGGCCGCAAGAGTGGGCGGTCTAGAGGCACTTGGTGCTGCAAAAACAAAGGCCTTGGAACACATATGGGCAAGAAAACAGCCGAAGGAACAATCAGGCCGTGGAAGACGCTCCCGGGGTGGTAAACGGTCGAGAAGTAGATCTAAAAACACCAAACGATCCAGGAACCGGAAACCGAGTATCAAACGATCCAGAAGCAAAAAACGGGCAGTTAAAAAGAGAAAGCCATCGAGATCGACAACCAGAAGCAGGTCGGCTAAGAAACGAAAAACATCTCCTCAAGACATATTTGGATAAAGAATGAGTTTTGTACATTCCAATTCACAGGAGTGCAGCAAGAGCGAACTTGACCTGTTTTCGGTACCTCCGACACAAACGAGTTTGGAAAAAGGACACTGGGTAGAACATCAACAGTTTCAAGCGTTGCGGATGCAGGGCCAATTACTTTTATGGTCCCTGGTACCGAAGATTATGTGGATCTATCAAAAACGGTTCTTGTGATAAGAGCAAAAGTAACAAAAGCAAACGGAGATGATCTTGATGCTGACGAAAAAGTAGAAATTGTAAATAATTTCCCACACAGTTTATTCAGACAAGTCGATGTGTTTCTGAAAGAAAAGCAGGTAACGCAGGCAACAAGTACCTATGCCTATCGTGCGTATTTGGAAACCCTTCTCAACTATGGTCCAGCAGCCAAAGACTCTCAACTCACCGCATCCATGTTCTACAAAGATAAGGCAGGGAAAATGGATGTATCCGATCCCACTGTCACGAATACCGCTAATGCCAGCTCTGGTCTGAAAAAAAGATATGAATTTAGCAAAGAGAGCGGAACCATTGAAATGGCCGGACCAATATTTTGTGACGTGTTTATGACAGAGCGACTTTTGTTGAGTTATGTCGACATAAAATTGGTTTTGAATCGAAACATCCAGGAGTTCTGTCTCATGGCCTCGGAGGGCGGTGCCGATTACAGAGTGAAGTTGACCGATGCGTATCTCAAGATGGCTCACGAATTAGCCTTGCGAAAAGGACCGGCCATTTATCCCATTCGCCGTGTGGAGTGTAAAAGCTTCATCATTCCTGCGGGCTGCAGTGATCACATGATAGACATGTGATACAATAACATTTATATATAGTTTTAGGGTGTGTTCACATTAGTGATTGATTGAGCGTTGAATAAATAAGTACAACATTACAATGGCGACGAGGAAAAATGTGCTAAAACGAAAGTTATAATCGATATCAGTGCTTTAGTATGGCAACTGCGGGAAAGATAGATTTAGCTCCTCTTGCTCCGTTTGATCCGATATCAGAACCGACATCCTTAAGTCAACGATGGAAAGTTTGGAAACGCAGATTCGAAACGTATTTAGTCGCGGTAAATGTGAAAGATAATGCCCAGAAACGAGCATTGTTACTTTATCAAGCCGGTGAGGCAACACAGGAAATCTTCGTACACTTTCAGAGACAGGAGAGGACAATGATTACAAGACTGCAATTGAGAAATTGGACGAATATTTTTCCCCGAAGAAAAATGTGGATTACGAGATATTTCAATTCCGTCAAGCAAAGCAAAACGCCGATGAACCAACAGACCAATTTGCAACATGACTTCGCAAACTAGCAGCTCACTGTGAATTCCACGATGTAGACCATGAAATAAAATCGGCTATTATTCAAAATTGTCGATCTAAACATCTCAGGCGGTATGCCTTACGGCAAGATAAAGTGACTCTCACCGAGTTGTTATCGAAAGCTAGAACATTGGAAAATAGCGAACAGCAAGCCAAGGGCATTGAAGAACGTTTAGCATCGACTAATATTCAAGACGAAGAAGCAAATTTTGTAAATCCCCCAAGATCTAATGGACAACAGCAACAACAACAGTGTCGCAACTGTGGATTATCTTGGCCTCATCGTGACGCACCTTGCCCTGCTAAAGGACAAACATGTCGAAAATGTAATAAACAAAACCATTATGCCCGAGTTTGTCGCAGCAGCGTCCCATCGACAAGGAATCCTATTAATACAAGACCTAGACCTATCCGCCCAGACAACAATCAACACAATATTCAACAGGTTGGATATCAAGAAGACCACTATTCGAATAGCCCTAGTAGCAGCAGCAATGATGAGCATTTATATACATGTGTCGACTCTAAATCAACAAAAATGCCTTCGACCAAAGTACAAATAAACAATGTACATGTCAAAATGATCATAG